GGGCGCAGTGAAGGCACCTTAGCCAGAGTGCTGAGGCGGACACCACAAGGCCTGTGGGGCCCCACTTGCAACATGCCATGCAAGCTAAGGCTGCCCCCAATTGAATGACAATAGCGGCTGAGTGGCTGCCACCTGGAGGCCTGGCCGGCGAAGACTTGGATAGCTGAGGCCAGTCAACTAGGGGGTAATTAACGCTCGAGTTTGATGGGGCAAAGGAGCAGCCAACTATCAAAAGCGTCAATCCCTGCCGTGCTCAAAGTCTATCAAGTTGTGAAAATGTGGAAGTGCTGAAGCCAAAAGATTCGTGGACACTTGGGCTCCGAAGCAATGCAAATCGCCCGGGAGGAGTGCGCCTCAGCGTCATCGCAGGGCCCTTGGCCACGGCGGCAGCCTTGAAGGTTGTGTTGAAGTTGACCGGCCTTGCAGTGGCCCGGGCGTCCAGCTGGTTGAGACACTGATCGGCATAATAAAACTTGTTATGCAACAGACTTGTTGTTCGAGGTAGGGCAAGCACGACCCCTTGAATTGCGGCCAGCGCCGGAGCGTGCAGCCACCAAAGTGTCGCAAAATAAAGAACACTGAACAAAAGCGAGAACGCCTCATCGGCGGATATAGGCCGCCAATCTGTTCATCCAGTGGTGCCAAGCCACTTCACCTTCTTCTTGGCTTTGCCTTACACGAAGGAACATGAGCCCAGCCCGTGTTTTTGCAGCAAGAGACCATGATATCTGTCCCCTTTCTTCTTCGCAGGTCCAGCAATGTATCCTGTCTGGGCTGAGGAAGGGACAGGCCAACATCTTATGACTCATGACACGGAACCCATCTGGCAATCAAGCAGTTCACACATTCTTTGCACCATCTTGGAGAGATTTGGGAATGCCTCGGAATGCCTCGAGATCAGGCCACAGGCTTGAATGGCTTTGGCCATGCCTCCCTTTACCAGCTTGGAGTTTGAGGCGACAGAACGTCTAGTTCTGATCCCAGTTGCCCTTGAAGAGCGCATCCAGCGAAGGTGGCGCTGAGCTGCTGCTGTACCCACCAGAGTCAGTCATTGCCCTGGGCCAAGAAGAGATGTCAACTCGAGGGAGCGGAGGAATCAAGAGACCACAAATCTTTCCCGTGTCCGTGACCTTCCACAAAACAAGTCGGCGCCTGGCCTCGTGGGAAAAGCAGCGCCTGCCTGGAAAATCCTATTCCTACTGCCTAGCTAAAGCGGTCGGCGTTGGAGAACTAAATCGCTCGAGAGAGCATCTGGGCTGCGGCGGAAGGCAACTTTGACCAGCATGCCATGAAGCGATTCGCACTCCTAGCAGGCCTACCATCCTCTGAGCCCCCAGTGCTTTAAGCACCCCTCGGCAAATAGTGCCAGCAGATGGCTCTCCGCACACAAAAGCATGCCTGCGAAGCCAGGACCAATCGCCAAGCAATTGAAAAGTTCGGCCTTTCAGAGATTGAGGTTTGGTCAGAGCCAGAAAACGGGAAAACAAATCAAGATCTTGCAACGGACCCTGCCCAGCCCTGCCAGGCAAGCGCGCGCCAGCAAAGAGAAGCTGTCGCCGCCTGACATACACAACACCTGTCACATCCATCCTGCCCCCCCCACACTGAGCCCTTTTGGAGCCTTTTGGAGCGCAACTGATGCACAGCTAGAAAGTGCCACCGCCTTGGTGCAGCGGCAGTCGATGTACCTGCAGGTTGAAGCTTCCAGCACAGCTTGCAAAAGCCAATCCCAATGTGCGATGGCAACAGCTGCGCTCTCAATGTTGCATCCGCATAAACACTGGCGCAACCGGCCACTGGCCTTTCAACGAAGGAGGTGGCAGCTAGCCAATTTATCAAGTGAACTGATCATGCCCCATCTTGCCCAGATTAAGAGTTGACTTGGGCCAAACGTGCTACTTCAGGCCACTGTGAAAAGGTGGTCGCAGGCTGCCTTCAAACACAGCCTGGGCAAACGCATGCTGAGCCGCTGCAAGAAGATTGCCTATTACGTTCAGGCAGGGGTGGATCCGGGGCTGCAAGGCTGCAAGCAAGCGCGCAACAGGCAGCTTCTCCCCACCCTGACGACCGCTGGCTGCGAAGCTTCCACCACCTGGGCGCTTGCGAGCTATGGGAGGCCCGCTCGCGCATTCCCAAATGCAAAGTGCGGAAATGCCCCGGAAATGCGCTAAAGTGTTAAAATCCAGCCCCGCCAACTGGTTGAACTGTTGACCCAGGGCATTTATCATGCCCACCCTCCGCGCTCAGGCTGTGGCCGCTAGGAGCTCGGCGCGTAGCGCCACAGCAGCCAGCTGCCCGGATCTGAGGGAAGCTTGCCAGATACGGAGACGGCAAAAAGCTGGCAAGCAAAACAAGCCAAAGAAACGAAACAAGCTTCCAAATGCAAAAGGAACAGACTTCGGAACTTCTGACCCTGTCGCCGGGGTTCAAGAGGGCATTGTATTCCTACCTCCCAACAGCAAACAATGCAAAACAACATGGCTTAAGATAAGATGGGGATCAGGTCTGAGCAGGGCACGGCGGCAACGGCCATCTTTCGAGGTGAATCCCTGGCGCAGTCCGTGCTTGTTTGGTGTTGGCGGTTGGTGTTGCTTCTTTGTTGTTGTTGTTGTTGTTGTTGCTGCTGGTGTTGTTGTTTTTTGTTGCTGTTGCTGTTGCTGTTGTTATGGTTCTTGTTCTTGTTCTTGTTCTTGCTCTTGCTCTTGCTCTTGTTGTTGTTGTTGTTGCTGCTGCTGCTGCTGCTGCTGCTGCTGCTGCTGCTGCTGGTGTTGGTGTTGGTGTTGGTGTTGGTGTTGGTTTTGGTGTTGTTGGTGTTGCTGGTGTTGTTGGTGCTGTTGGTGTTGTTGGTGCTGTTGATGCTGTTGGTGTTGTTGGTGTCTGTTGTTGTTGGTGGTGGTGGTAGTGGTGTTGTTGTTGCTGCTGCTGCTGCTGTTGCTGTTGTTGTTGTTGATGATGTTGTTGTCGTTGTTGTTGTTGTCGTTGTCGTTGTCGTTGTCGTTGTCGTTGTCGTTGCTGTTGCTGTTGCTGTTGCTGTTGCTGTTGCTGTTGCTGTTGCTGTTGTTGTTGTTGTTGTTGTTGTTGTTGTTGTTGTTGTTGTTGTTGTTGTTGTTGCTGTTGTTGCTGTTGTTGCTGTTGTTGCTGTTGTTGCTGTTGTTGGTTGTTGTTGTTGCTGTTGCTGTTTGTTGTTGCTGTTGTTGCTGTTGTTGCTGTTGTGCTGTTGCTGTTGTTGTTGTTGTTGTTGTTGTTGTTGTTGTTGTTGTTGTTGTTGTTGTTGTTGTTGTTGTTGTTGTTGTTGTTGTTGTTGTGCTGTTGTTTGTTGTTGTGTTGTTGTGTTGTTGTGTTGTTGTGTTGCTGTGTTGTGTTGCTGTTGCTGTTGCTGTTGCTGTTGCTGTTGCTGTTGCTGTTGCTGTTGCTGTTGCTGTTGCTGTTGCTGTTGCTGTAGCTGTAGCTGTTGTTGTTGTGGTTGTTGTTGCTGTTGTTGTTGTTGTTGTTGTTGCTGTTGTTGTTGTTGTTGTTGTTGTTGTTGTTGTTGTTGTTGTTGTTGTTGTTGTTGTTGTTGTTGTTGTTGTTGTTGTTGTTGTTGTTGTGGCTGTGGTTGTGGTTGTGTTTGTGCTTGTGTTTGTGTTTGTGGTTGTGGTTGCTGTTGCCGTTGCTGTTGCTGTTTGGTTGTTGTTGCTGTTGTTGTTGCTGCTGCTTCTGTTGTTGTTGTTGTGGTGGTGGTGGTGGTGGTGGTGGGGGTGGTGGTGGTGTTGTTGTTGTTGTTGTTGTTGTTGTTGTTGTTGTTGTTGTTGTTGTGGTTGTTGTTTGGCAACGGTCACAGAAGCATGTCAGTGGCGCTTTTCAAATGTGCTGTTTTCCATTCTTTGCCACTTTCCGGAAAACATTGCAACCCAGTGTTTGCCCCATGCACCTGCTGACAATGGCATGCAAAGGCCTTCGCGGCGTCCAGCGCTACTGCACAAGCGTTTTGGAACAACATTCAAGGCCTGCAGGGAGCTTCAGCGTAGCCTTAGCAAAGCCAGTGCGTAAGATCTCCTGAAGGTCGCAGGGCCACCTCTAACCCCCCAAGTATGTGTTCGGAGGACCCACCAGAATTCAAGATCCTCAGACTGACAATGGCACCAGCGCGCGCTTACGCTTGGGACCCAACCCCCAATCAGTTGTGCGTTGGCCATCTTTGTCATCAGAGCATATGCGACATTGCCGTGTTGTCGCTTGGCAAGGCTCCTTGAACAAAACCCACATCTCAGGCTGCGGCACCTGCAGGACTGGGCAGTCCTGAAAGAGATGAGCTGGCAACTGGGCCTCTGGAGCTTTTGGTCCAGTGCCAGCAAAACGCCAATCCCAACAGCTATTGAGATTTGTTAAGATCCCGTGAGAGACATTGGCCATCCTCAACCCATCCCATGGCTGTATTGCTTGACCTTCGGCCCTTGCCTACGCCTCGCCTTACCAGTGCTGAATCTTGGATCACGAAATTGATGCACATCTGTGACTCATGTGTTCCCCTGTCCTGAGACATCCCAGGCACTGTGACTCATGTCCTTGCCGCCTCGCGCACAAGCTGCCCCTGGCCCTTGCCCCCGCAAAGCTCAAGGACGGAGTGCCCCAAGACAAGAGGAGTTATCAACGTACCGATGTTTCCTGTTAGAGAGGATGCCGAGTCCGTCTCAAAGGAGTAGGCAGCATGCGCCGCTGATCCCTGCACCTATTTTACGGCGAAGCCAGTGCCAGGTCATCCAATCCGTGCATTGCAGCGTCCGACCTATACACAACGCCAACCCTTTCACACAGGCCCGAAAATTTCATCCTGTACATGTCCTCCGGATGAGAACCTTGTGGCACTTGCCATCGGCCAGCTGGATGCTGGATGCCAGCCCCTTGCCAGGCCTCCAGCACCGCGCTTGCGAATCCGTGCTGCAGCTGGATTTCAATCCCACCCCCAGTCCAAGCAAGAACCAAGCGTCCGAGGCTTCAAGTAGAGAGCTGGGGATGGTGACTGGCCTGAATGGCGACTCAGCGCATGAGCTCCACAGATGGAAGTGTGATGGTGGTCTCGAACATCATGTCAAAGACGCCCTGCAGGCGAGGGCTTGCCAAAGAGATCACGCCTTGTGGCAGCCTCCCGCTTGCCAATAAGAGTTCTGCTTGATGCAAAATCAACCGAGCACCACATGCACATACATGCACGTCTGGCGAAAGCAGATCCGTATTGCACGGGGGCATGTTTCCCGGTGTGTTGATGACGTGCAGAAGTGGATTTGCACACTCCGTGTGGTTTTACAAAAGCTCTGTTGCCTGGCAGAAAACCAATACTGTCTGCCGCTTGCCGCAGAGAGGCTGCTTGCGAGTTGAAAAACCACGCCCTTCAGGAGATTGACAAGTGGTTGGAGAACTTATAGTTTGCTGCGGCTGCACTACACGTTCTGCAATTCTTACAGGTCATGCACTTGGAGCTGGTCAGAGCTCATCAATGCAGTTCCAACATGATTGGCTGCAGAAGCAATCCGCACACCCTCTGTTTGGGGGGTCGCTGGCATTGAGTTCAACGGCTTCTTCCCGAGGTTGGTGCTGAAAGAGTGATTTCGGACACATTTGGGCCTCGCTTTCGACACCATGGCGTGCCTAGATACGCATGGGCTTCGACTCCTGTGGTGATTTCTTTGCATGCCGCTCCTCTCTTTAAGTGTACGATGCTATTTGATCCAATGGTGGTTTACCATCTGTTGGGCTTGTGGTTCTTTCCAAGCAGTTGGGGCATGAAGGGAGGAAGCTTCGTTTGGGACTATAGTAGCCAAGCGATGCTCTTTATGTCTTTGGGCATGTTTCTTGTTTACGTGTATGACCAAGGCTGATATCAAACACGCTTGGGTCTCGTTTTTGAGGTCAGCTTTTCCGACATCTGTTCATGATGTTCTCTAGGAACATAGCCTATATCCCACAAGTACTTAGTACGGTCTCGGGCCCCCTCCCTTGAACGGCACCTCCAAGAAGAGAGGGCCGAATGGCAGGATGCAGAGCGTTGTGAGCAGCGTCTGGCACGGCGCCGGCAGGTTGCCCAGGGCCAGCCCCAACGGGGTCTTCTTCAGCAAGACCTGGCAGGACTGTCTGAGCCTTGTGACTGAAAGCCCGAGGACGCCCCACGAGAATTTACAGAATGGCGGGGTTGAAATGTCTTTCGGCTATCTCCGGGTTCGAACCAAAAAGTAACAATAACAACCAACGCACGTACTTAGTTTGCTCCGCCCGGGAGCCCTTTGGCTGAAGAAGGCAAGTCCACATTGGGCGAGCACGTGAACATCATATCGTCGAAAGCAAGTCAGAGGCATGCGATAAATTCATGAGCCAAGGCTCTTCTTCCCAAAGCTGTCAACAAGTACAGTGAGCAGGATCAAATTGAGCGATAGGTAAGCTGGCGAATGCTACAGGCCTTCTGTGGTCACTGAAATAGACGGATAACATGTCTCCAAATGCTGTTCATGCCAGCAACCACGAATGCACCTCGCAGACAAAAACATACCGCAGGTACCCTCTGAACATTGCACATTCAAGAGTCCCACTTCTGCCAGGGCTACATGAATGCGTCTGCTGTGGGTGGGTAGAGCAAATAGCAGGAAATCGCCTGCGCTGCCGTTGCCACGAACTGCACCATGAAAAAAGCTGTCACCTGACCACGCAATGAGGCGAAAGTGGGATGCTTTCGACCGCTTTCAGACTGGCCGACAGAAAAGCCAAGCGCCAAGTGGTCACTTTCAGACCACTGCCAGGAAATCAGGTGGCTGAGTGAAGATGCATCTCCGGATGGGTGGAAGTTCAGCAGCAACTCTCAGACCGAGTTGACTTCATGGTCGGTTGGACGTTTGAGTTGCTGGACAAATCTGGAAGTTGGTCCCGCCTTGCCAGGGACATAGCGGCTGCCATCGGGTCGCGCCACATGCAGCAGCAGCCACATGTACTCATGGAAGAGCCCCGACCTGAGACATGGCAAATTTCGATGTTAGAGCAAGGCAGCGAAAGCGCCAGCTCGATTCAGGCACCGGCACAAGGAAAGCCGCGGCCCCTGCAAGATTTTTCTTCAGCGGCCCGCCATGCTGCAGCGGCGCGAAGATAAGGCGCTTCATCAAGTTGTGGATTATCATGTTCCAGCGGCGCCCCCAGAAGTCTCGGAACGAGGTAGATTTCACAAGTGGCGCATTCATCCCTTGGAGCGTCTCAAAACCACAAAGCGTTGCGATCAGCCGATGGTGAAGCATGCACGTGGCTAGCATGCCGTAGACGAAAATTGTCTGAAGGTAAATTGCTGGAATGCTCCCGGGAAGCCCGTGCATCGGCAAAGCAGACGGAAGTGCCGACAGGAATGGTAGGTACCCTGTGGCCTTGCCCAAAGAAAGGGTCACGAGCATGATCAGCGCATGGAAGGACATACGCGCCGCAAGGTCCACTATACGCCATTTTCGCTCCGTGATGCCCTTGATCTTGCCATCCTCGAAATGAATTTCTGCAGGAATGCCTTGCAAGTCAGCAAATTGAAAGTCTACAGGATTCATCGGTCATCTCATTTCATGGTTTTAGGGATTCATTGCTACCGCATGTTGCTGCATTCAAGCGGCTCATGGCTCGCACTTTGGGCCATGCAATCACGTTGCATTAAACCAAAGTAAGAAACATGTTGAACTCCTTCACGTGTTAGCTTTCTGGCAGCACTTACTGATCAGAAAACCTTAATCTCAGCCATGGAGCTAAAGTATACCGCAAAGGTCGTGGCTGTCGCGTCGAAACCTTTGGGGCCGGACTTGCTCACTAGCCTCAGTATGTGCCACAAAGCATGCCAAGAGCAGCTCCAAAGCTTCGGAGGGTGACGAAGTGCTGTGCTCGTCAGCCCTCAGCCCTTGTTTGGCCAGGCAGCTCCAGCCACCGGAACGCGGAGAGGACGCCGAGGTAGGCCAGGGTGAATGCTGACACTAATGACCTGCGGGCAACATGATGCGATCGGGCGGGAGCAGGCATTACTACGCGGAAGGTAGGATATTGCATATTTCTATGGACGCATGCTTGCTGGGCACCTGGTGGTACAAAAAATACAGTGAAGTAAGACTACACCGCCAAGCCCGGTCCTTGCCCTAAGCATGACAGCCCAACATTGAATAACAAGAAAACCAAAAACCACGTCAAAGTTCTTGTCTTAGCTGTTGAGCACCACACCCGTGGTTCAAGCCTTGAAGCCCAAAGCTCCATGCCCGCCTGCAGCCCATAAGCATTGCCACCACAAAAGGTAGGGCGGCCAAAGCCGCAAAAATTGCCATCGCCAGCAAAGGCTTCAGCTCCTGCACTGCAGGACAGCTGTCTCGGCATTTCCCTTGTCAGCACAAGGAATGCAAGAGCTTTGCTCGAAAACATGTATGCCGACAAAACGCTGGCCCCGCAACACGTTGGATGCTACAGGTGCTGGACAGGTCTTTCGCCCTACCGCGAAGGCATGCCGAAAGTTTCTCAAACTCTCAACGTGCGTGTTTGTCACCGCCGAGTTAGCGGCTGTTGCTGGTGTGCATTTTTGCTTCGCTGCTTTCTGTGGGAGTGATGCGGTACTTGGCGATGCTTGTTTTATGCTGTTTTGTTTGCCGTTTTTTGTGGTAGTGCTGCTGCACTTGGCGATGTTTGTTGATGTGTTGGTTTTGTTGCGTTTGCCGTGGTCATGGTCGTGGTCCCGGTCGTCAATGTTGCCGTTGTTGTTGGTCGTCTGCCGTTTTTGCTCTGTCGTTGTTGCCGTCGTTCCTGTGGCCATTGTTTCTGCCATTGTCAACGCCGTCGTTGTTGTGGTGACTTCGTTTTATCAATGATGATGGTGATGGCTAGTGATGATGAGGAAGATGCAGACGAAGACAAAGGCAAAGACAAAAACCAAAACGATAAGGAGAAGGAGCAGGAGGAGAAGGAGAACCATCTGCTGGCGAATGAGAAGGACGAGGGGAAGGAGGATATGGAGAAGGATCAGGATCGGAATTGATGATGGGGAGAAGGAGGAGAAGGAGAAGGTGGAGTGAGGAAAAGGATGAGGATGAGGAAGAGAATGAGGAGGCTGATAAGGATGAGGATGTTGCTGCTGATGACAATGGCTGGTGATGATGATGGCTGTGGCGGTTTTGTGGGCGGGGTTGATGGTGAAGGTGCTGAAGGTGGTGAAGGTGGTGAGCGTGGTAACGGTGGTAAAGGTGGTAAAGGTGGTCAAGGTGGCGAAGCGGTGAAGGTGATACGGGTGGTGAAGGTGGTGAAGGTGGCGAAGGTGGAAGGCGCTGAAGATGGTGAAGGTGGTGAAGGTGGCGAAGGCGGTGAAGGTGGTAAAGGTGGTGAAGGTGGTGAAGGTGGTGAAGGTGGTGAAGGTGATAAAGGTGGTAAAGGTGGTGAAGGTGGTGAAGGTGGTGAAGGCAGTAAAGGTGAAGGCGGTGAAGGTGGTGAAGGTGATAAAGGTGGTGAAGGTGGTGAAGGTGGTGAAGGCGGTGAAGGTGGTGAAGGTGGTGGAAGGTGATAAAGGTGGTGAAGGTAGTAAGGGTGGTGGAGGTAGTGAAGGTGGTAAAGGTGGTGAAGGTGGCGAAGGTGGCGAAGGTGGTGAAGGTGGTAAGGGTGGTGAAGGTGGTGAAGGTGGTGAAGGTGGTGAAGGTGATAAAGCTGATAAAGGTGGTAAAGGTGGTGAAGGTGGTGAGGGTGACAAAGGTGGTGAAGGTGGTGAAGGTGGTGAAGGTGATGAAGGTGGTGAAGGTGATAAAGGTCGTGAAGGTAGTAAAGGTGGTGGAGGTAGTGAAGGTGGTAAAGGTGATAAAGGTGGTGAAGATGGTGAAGGTGATTAAGGTGGTTAAGGTGGTTAAGGCGGTGAAGGTGGGTGAAGATGGTGAAGGTGATAAAGGTGGTGAAGGTGGTGAAGGTGGTGAAGGTGATGAAGGTGGTAAAGCTGGTGAAGGTGGTGAAGGTGATAAAGGTGGTGAAGGTGGCAAAGGTGGTGAAGGTGGCAAAAGGTGAAGGTGGTGAAGGTGGTGAAGGTGGTGAAGGTGGTGAAGGTGGTGAAGGTGGTGAAGGTGGTGAAGGTGGTGAAGGTGGTGAAGGTGGTGAAGGTGGTGAAGGTGGTGAAGGTGGTGAAGGTGGTGAAGGCGGTGGAGGTGGTGAAGGTGTCAAAGGTGGTGAAGGTGGTAACGGCGGTGAACGTGGTGAAGGTGGTAGTGGTGGTGAAGGTGGCGAAGCGGTGAAGGTGAGAAGGGTGGTGAAGGTGGTGAAGGTGGTGAAGGCGGTGGAGGTCGTGAAGGTGGCGAAGGTGGCGAAGGTGGTAAAGGTGGTGAAGGTGGTGAAAATGATTCAGGTTGTGAAGGTGGTGAAGGTCGTGTGGGTGATACAGGTGGTGAAGGTGATGAAGGTGGTGAAGGTGACAAAGGTGGTGAAGGTGGTGAAGGTGATGAAGGTGGTGAAGGTGAAAAAGGTCGTGAAGGTAGTAAAGGTGGTGGAGGTAGTGAAGGTGATAAAGGTGGTGAAGATGGTAAAGCTGGTGAAGGTGGTGAAGGTGGTGAAGGTGATAAAGCTGATAAAGGTGGTAAAGGTGGTGAAGGTGGCAAAAGGTGAGGTGAAGGTGGTCAAGGTGGTGAAGGTGGTCGAGGTGGTAAAGGTGGCAAAAGGTGAGGTGAAGGTGGTCAAGGATGAAGGTGGTGAAAGTGCTGAAGGTGAAAAAAGTGGTAAAGGTGGTGAAGATGGTGAGGTGATAAAGCTGGTGAAGGTGGTGAAGGTGATAAAGGTTATAAGGTGATAAAGGTGGGGAAAGTGATAAAGTTGGTGAAGGTGGTGAAGGTGATAAGGGTAGTGAAGGTGGTGAAGGTGGTGATTGTGATAAAGGTGGTGAAGGTGGTGAAGGTGATAAAGGGGGTGAAGGTGGTGATTGTGATAAAGGTCGTCACGGTGGTGAAGGTTGTGAAGGTGATGCAGGTTGTGAAGGTGGTGAAGGGTGATGAAGGGTGGTAAATGTGGTGGCGGCGGCGTCATTCGTTGCTGCCGCCGTCGTTGTTGCTGTTGCCGGGGGGAGGCGGCTGCGGTTGTGGTTGTTGTGGGTTATTGTGGTGGTTGTTGCGCATGGCTTGGTTGTGGTGCGGTTGTGGTTGGCGGCGCTGCTGCTGGCGCCTTGATATCACATGAGTACCGGAAAGCACTAACTTGAGCCAGAAGCAGGTGCCCCAAGGAGACGCACTTCCTCCATCAATGGCAGCATCAAACTGGCAGCATCAAACTGCCAAGGCCGAGTGAAAGTCTGCCAAGACACCCCGAAGTTGCAAAATCTCGCGTGAAGCTCAGCCCGCTCAAGTATCTCAAAATCCCGCCCAACGGACTTCTGCTTTGTGGTCGGCACAGACATGCAATTGTGAGTCGTGCTAAAGGCTTCTTGGAGGGCCACACTAGTGTATGTTGCAGCATGTTCAAGATTTGCTTGTTTGCGGCCGATTAGGGCTGGGTTTCAAGGCAGCCCTAAAGATGGTTTAGGCGATTAGCTTGGTTGGTGTAGGCTGGGTTGAAGGTTGGCTTTTGGGCTGTGGGTTCAAAGGTTGTGGAGCGTGTTTATGCCGGGATTGGCTTGCATTCAGGGCGGGCTTAGGGTGGGAAAAAAGGCTGGGTTCAGGGCGGGCGTAGGGTTGTAGGGTGGGCTTGGGGCGGGTTGGTCTAAGGGTGAGATGAGATTAGGGTGGGTTGGGGGGGGGTTACGGCTGCTTGATTTAAGCTCAAGCCTAAACGCGAGCAGATGCAAGTTCCTAAACTGATCCCTGAACCTGATGCCAATGACCATCCTCAGTGGGTGGGAGTTCGGGGGTTCACTGTAGCTCCGCTTGATTGTTTGAACAAAATCGACTACTGAACGACTGCGCGCTTGCTGGTCCTGAATGTACATGTACGGCAGCAACCATACCGGCCTCTTCTCTGCCGAGTCGACCTTCACCTGCATCCGGGCACAAAAGCGGTAAGTGACCAATCCTCCTGAATGAAACAGCATTGATTCAGCGCGTACTGTGATGCGATTTGCGGCAGGGCTGGTGATGCCTGACGCTCTCCACAGTGATAGAGCTTGAATAGCATAAAACCAAGCAAAAAGCGGAGTGGAAGGGACACAAAGTCCAGCAGGATAAACTCCTCAGCTGTGCTGGCATTGATATCAGGGCCGGCCACGCCAGGCCGAGCGCCACCCAAACTCATTGACTCACGGTCGTCCAAAGCCTAACAAAATGCCGAGGCTCTCCCGAGGACAGCAAATCACCGGTGTGCAGGCGCAGGCCGAGTGTCGGCAGCTCGACTGTCCATGCCCACATCGCAAGGCCTGCACTTTTCATGGCCAGAATGCTTGCGGTTTTGCGTTTTTCATGTGGGCAAGCCTCAATCCAGGCCGCTTTGTTTTACACAAGGCGCCTTCTGGTGACAGAGCCAGCAGCGTGGAGCCAGCAAGCGTGCCTTCAGCACTTGCAACTGGCTTGAGCCTCAACGCTAGCAAGCATATCCATGCCTTGGCCCCTATTCATCGGTGCTAGGGACCTGGAGCGGCTGACGTCCTCTGAGAGGGCGGTCATACATGTGGGCGACGCCCAAGTTGCCCAACTAAGGAATGACTGGCAACGCTAGTGTCCATCAAAACACACACACACACAACTCATACACACGCGATACAACCTCTCTTGGACCAAGCACGGCCACAAAGCCAGTCAGGACATGAGGCGCAAGAGCTAGGGATACATTGTGCGGCATTTCGGCCGTATCAATGAAAGTGCGGAACACTGGCTTGAGGCAAGCATTTTCTAGCCGCGCTTTCCAAGCGATACAAACTCAGCCCTGCTAGCTATTGGAATTCAAAACTTGATCTCACGAGAGATGTCTAAATGGTCAAGTCAACAATTTGATTCATTGACAAACTGAAGTTGCAACCGCAAGTCGCCACCCATGGATGTTACTGAACATGCGGCCCTGAGCCCCTGGGCCCGTGGCCGGCTCCGCCAGCCCATGTCGCTCGCCGTGCGCTGTGAGAGCGGTGTCTGTGTCGCAATGGCATGGGTCGATTCCATCTGCGATGGTCAAGTTCCGCAATGTCGACATGTGCTGTGGAGATTCCGACTTAGCACCTGTCCCCGCGAAAGCGTCAAGGGCGCACACGCTTGTTACTTGACAGGCTGATGCTTGGCCACTAGCACGTGGGACATGGCGAATGGAACGCTGTGCTGGTTGAAGAAGATACTTTGTTTTCAGAAGGACCTGCCTGGCGTGCCAAAACAGGAACAAGTGTGATTGCAAGCATCGCTGGCGGCAGCGGTAAGCGCGTATCTTACCGATTTGGAGCGAGTATTTACATTTCATTTGATGAGCGGCCAAAACACAGTGCCCTTTGCCACCAATCTGATCATCTTCATCTGGATTGTGAGCCCTTCTGATTCCGAGGAGCCTTCAAAAGCAGCCTCTCGCATGGCCGTCAGTCTTTTCAACAACCACATGTGGGTTGATTGAGGCACCTTGAAACCTAACCTTTGAAACCTGCACAGGGCCAAAGTAGCAGTGAGACCATTTCATTCAAAATGTTGCGTGATGCCGACAATCTACTGGGGGAAGCGGTCAATTGAAGGAAGCCAGCTAGCAACTGATACGACCTCCCAAGCAGGGTACGAGTAAGCCACGATGTTTTCATGCACAGAGCATGGCGCGCCAGGACAACCAACTGCACTGGCAGCCTGCGCCAGTAGAATTTCTGTGATGCACAGCCTGTTGAAATTAGAGCCAAGCGCCTCCCGGTCAAATCAGTCAACACCGGACCAGAAACGGTTGCAACAGGAATAATATTCGCAGCTTTGGGCATAGCAACTTAGCGGCATGCGGCAGGCAAAGCTAATTCTAGATTGCCTTCAGTTCAGCTCAGTCGTTCACACCGCCTGCGTCCTCTGTACATGCGCTGTCCTTCCTGTCTGCCGTGCAGACGTGCACACTTGAAATCGCCTGTGGCTCGGCTTCATTCCTCAGCACGTGCCGACCTCGCAGGCAATGTCTCCATCAAGCGGCTCAACTCCTGGATGATCACCCACCCAGCACATCAAGACAGCAGGCATACCTTCAAGTGTCACAGGAACCTTCACATCAACATATAAACCACAAGAACGTAACAAGGGCGCCATCTCCTGCGCAATGTGCCTCGGCACTCAGGTGGCGCTAGCCTAAGGCCCACGCAGTTTCTTCATGCCTGTGCATGGCACCCGGGCCTCCCCAAATGCGCTCCATTTTTTCCCCGAATGCCTTCTTGCCGGAACCCAGCTTATTATAGTTTTAGAAGTGGCCCTTGGACGCTTCCAGGTTCCAAGGGGTGATTTCAATTCTTGCATTGCCCGGCCTACTTTGCGGCAACCCTGTCTCAAGCTGAGCTCAGCAGTCAGATTTTGCCTTCTGGGCGTCGCCGGCCAGCAATGCCATGTTCCCGGGCGAACTGCCAGAAGGACTCCGGCACGTGGCTTGCATCCTGCAAGAACCCATCGAGAACTTGCAATCGGACACAAGCCTCCTGCTTTTGAGAAGGAGGTTTTCCAGACTGTGGGAGGGTTGCAACTGAATCATGCTTTACAGCTCACAAAAAGGAAAACCATGGAATTTGTCGTTGCAGGCAATGGGGAAAGCACGTGCTGGAATGTCGCTGCTGATTGAACAGGCAATGCTGCATGCCAGTGCTTTTCTGGTTCGCGACCTGCCAAATGACACCGCAGTTCGGCTCAAATTGCCGCTGGCAACGGGTGCTCTGTTTCGGCCCATTCCTTGGCTCCCTCGGCACCAGATTACAACCTGTCTCTTGGCACAGCAAGTCTCGTCGGTCCAGAACTCCATCCGAGCTGTCCCACAGCAAGCAGTAGAGCACCGTGAAAGCGGTGCCTGCCCAAAATGGGTCCAACTTGGCTCGCGCATTTGAAGCTGGAAATGCAGACATGCATCAGGGTCGTTCCCAACGGGCGCCTTCCACAGTGAAAAGCATGGCCCGGCTCGCCAGCAGCATCATCAAGGCTGTGGCAACACCTGAGCTGCCCGCACACAGGATGCGGGGCATGTGGGTGGGGGGGGAGTATCACAAAAAGGGATACAGAGATGGATCTGAATGAAGGACCATTTAGCTGGCCTAGTCAACTAGTCAATTCCGGGGCGGTTACACACGACAGCCAAGGCTCCCAGAAGCTCGCTGCTGACGGCCTTACTGCAAGACAGGCAGGCGACAGCAATCGTGCCCGATGCAGGCGCAAGCGATTGGTGCTCATGCGACATGCAAGTAACTCAGACCTGAAATCCTGGCCTGGCCCTCGGCCCTGAGCTCGGTCAGCTGCTGAGCCCAGAAAGGAAGGCCCGAGGCCTCAGCGAAGCAAGCGATGGGCAGGCAGGCCAAATAGGACTGCAAACAGCAAGGCCTCAAACGCTGGTTGGTGGAGGCATGGGATGAGCTTGAAATTGATTGCAAGGTATTGTGCGTGTCTTGCTCTGCATGGCTTGGAATGGGAGTGAGCAGTTTCAGTTTCCCCTTGACTGCTTTGCAGGCCACAGCGTCACGCCTGCAACTGACGAGTCAGCTCTGCTCCAGCTTCCAGCCAAATTGGGTGCCTGCACCGAGAGGGCAATTCGAAGCAAAGTGCATGGCGACAGTGTCGAACCCAAGGTCAAGGACCGAAGGTTTCCAAGACGCGGCTGTTGACACGTCCTTTTCACAACCAAAAGCCCTGTGTCCTCGTCAGCATGCACGCAGCGCAACCAGCCATAGCAGCCAGAAGGAGGGATCCAGCAACTCGCCTCGCCACGCGCTGAGGCACGCAAAACAGGAATGCCCCAGCGCTGATCTGATCTTCAGGCCGGGAAAACGGAACTTTGATTCTGTCTGGACGGCCATCATGGGCTGCTGATGGCTCAATGAAACCAAACTTGCTTTCTGATGGGAAACATGCTCAACACTGACGGCGCTAAATCTTGTGGATTTATTTGCCGGGACACGCCTTGCTTGGACAAATGCCATTTTGAACGAGAGAACATGTCTCAACCCAAAGGGAGCCGCTCAGTCGCGAAGCCGCTAAATTTCATTCGCGGGCAAAATCCTCAGGCGAACTACATGGTAGCCGTAGCCATTACAATTCTAAATGCCTCTTTCAATGGGACCTTAGCCACCATGTTTGCAATGCCCGTCGCCAAGGCTCAAAAAGCAGGCAACCAAAGACAGCACAGAGACCAGGCCAGCGTGGCTGCCCAGAATGTTGAAGGCCTGGCGTTGATGGGGCGACCAGAAAGCAGTCCATCCAAAATCGGTGCCAGCTCATGGACCCATGAGGGCAAACCCCAGGGCTCCCTGGCTCTAGCCCAGCCTTGGCCGCTGCTGCTGCATAGGAGTTCGAACTCAGAGCAATGTCGACCTGGGGCGTTGCCAAACACATAGTCTACTAGGCTGGGATGAAGCCAATCCGAACTTTGAGCTCAGTGAAGGCCACTGGCATGTCTTGAGCTCGTATGCCTGCCAGCTAAGCATTGCAAACAAGCATAGGGATTTACATGTTCCCGGTTCTTTCCTGGAAATATTGTCCAAGCGCAAGCCCAGCGACAGGGAAAACCAAACGCTCATGCCCTGACTGCAACTGCCTGACAACCCACCATTGAGGCAGGAACTTGGGTTGCCAAGTTGCGTATGCGTGGCTGCTCAAGAATTCAGTCAAGGCTTGCAACGTGGCGAGAAAGGCGTCGCAGAACACCTACAGGTGTCCAAAGCTAGCAAGTGCTGACCATCTTCGCCAGCAATCTGTCTGCAGGCGCATGCAAGTGTTGGCATGTGGCGTCGTCTGGACTCATCACCTTTTCTATGTAACTGCAGATGGTGTGGGGTGCTACTGCAGTTCGTCTGGGGTGCTTAGCTTATCGCTCCGAAGCCTTACAGATTGAATGACTGCCTGGCTCCCTGCTTTGGAGTGCAGTGGTGCTGCTGTCAATTAGTTATGCTGAGGTCAGATCTATTGTACCAATTGACGCAGTGAACAAACCGTTCACCCTATGCACAGTGCAGACTGCGGCCGTCTTAGCTTTTGCGCAACCAAGCATTGCCAACACATGCCCCGCATAGCATGAAGGGTTGAAAGAATACCAAGCACTAGGCTAATGCAAGGTTCAAAGATGCAAGCACGAAGCGCCAACAGTGTCAACAGCTACAACTTTCACCAGGCAGCCATGAAGCACCGGCAGCAACAGCGCCGCTTTTGCTTGCCCTTCTCCTCGTCCTCGGCACTATATTCATTTGTCCGAGTGACCTGCTTTACATGGAAACCTTGTGATCGACAAAAGCATGCTGACACGATCTTTGCTGCGTGTGCTTGCCCCTGTGTTCTACATACTCGTGCACAAACAGGCTTACTTGCATGGTCTCGTAGCATATCTTCATGGTTCACTCCTCAAAAGGCGAGCAAGTGTTGAAATTCAAGCTGACAGCTGCGCAAGCCGTCAAACCCGT